GCCCCGCCCCCTCCCCCGCACCGTCCACGCTCCCCAGGTGGGCGCGGTAGTGCTTGACGAACTCGATGCCGCCCTCCTGCTTCTTCCAGAATTTCAGGTGGCCGTCCACGCTGCCGGTGACGATGAAGTCGCTGCTGGTGACCTGGCAGGCCCCGGGGGTTGAGGGTTGCCGGCCGGTTGGTTTGTTTCCCTACGGCTTCCCTGCTATGCTCCAGCGGGTGCTGCTGGTGGTGCTGGTGCTGGTTCGGGCTGGTTCACTGCTGCTGCTGCTGCTGCTGCTGCTGCTGCTGCTGCTGCTGCTGCTGCTGCTGCTGCTGCTGCTGCAGCGGCTGCTGCTGCTGCTATGGCTGCTGTCACGTCGGTGTGATGCTGAGTCAATCCTACTGGTTCTCTAGGCTTGCCTACTGTGGACTTGGTATACTTTGCCCCACTCGGCCTCCCAAACTACGGCCCCAGCTTTCAAAAATCCCCCGACCCCCCGCCATCCAAGGACCGCTGCAGTGTTATGACGCATCCCGCGGACCACTGCTGCAACTGCGGCCGCTGCGCACCACCGCCTGCGTGATCGTGTCGCGGTGCATGTAGCTCTTCTCGTACATTTGTGCGCTGGGCAGCGCCTCCAGGTACTGCTGCTGAAACTGCAGCACCTGGAATCCCGTTTTCAGCGTTGGGCATCGCGCAGGGTGAGGTTGGGGCACTGACAGGTGCCCTCATGACTTGGCAAGGGCATGGAACTGCCATACACGCAGGCTGCCGCCCTGTGGCTGCATGCATCGCTTGCAGTGGACCCTGAAAACGTCATCAATGCAGCACTGCCTCGGTGATGCAGCTGATGCAGCAGAGGCGGCGGCACACACGCTGGTAGCACTTGCGCACCTTGCGTTTCTTCGCCTTTGGCAGCACGGGTCCTACGTCCGGCTCGTCCTCATCTGCTCCCTCTGGGGGCCGCGGGGGGCCCTCCTCCTGCTCCCCGTCCGCAGCATCGTCGTCCGCGGCCCGTTTTGCTCCAGACTCCATATAAGCGCGTGTGTAGCTCAACTTACTATATAATATATTATGCAACCATGCCGATCCGATCACGATCGCACTGATCTCTGGCCTTGGCACAATTCGATCACACAAAGGGACACGTATGGTACGTCCAACCTAGGTTGACATGGCTACAACAGCTTTGAGAGTGCGTGTCGTCTGACGAGGCTCACTTGAGTCACACCGGGTGACATCGTCGCCCTCGACGCTGAACGGGTGAATGCTCAAGCACATGCATGTATATTGATGGTTATTGCGTGACTCTATCATCGAGGGCTTGAAGAGCTTAGGATAGTCTTTGCTTTGTGTGAGGCGTGGCTGCCACTGTCCTCGCCCTCACTGTGGCGAGCTGGCCTCGCGCAATACTGCCAAAACTTAAGTTTATATCAGCAGTTGTGGGACCGCGCGGTCGCCTCAGCGGCGTGTGCGTCGCTGACGCTCCGACGCAGGCCGGTGGTGACAGCGCACTCTGCAAGATTGCAGCAGAGGCGCAAGTAATCAAGCCCCCTGAGGCAGCAGCCGGTGCGGCACCGACGGCATTATCAACTTCAACGAGTTTCGTGCCGGCGCCGGGTGACGCTGATATGGACGCTGCTGGTGGGGACGCCCATGCTCCACATGGTCATTTCGGGGCGCTCCCGCCGCCGGTTCTGGAGCTCATAGCCAGCCGCGCTCATGTTGATGACAAGCACAACCTGCGCACCGCATGCCGGGCTGGACGCGCGGCGGTCAACGCGACGAGCCGCACGCTTGCGCTGCTGCGGCACCCCTCGCTGCAGCAGCTGCGCTGCTGCTCATGCTGCGTCGCCGGCAGCAGCGACTGCGGCGGGGCTGGGGCAACACGGGAGGAGCCTGCGACAACCCTGGATCAACTGCGTCGCTTGTTTCCAAACGCGACGAAGCTCATCCTTGCAGACCAACTGTCAGAGTTCCTTGTCAACAGCAGCATGGCCAGCAGCAGCTGCGGCAGCGAAAGCACGCCAGCCAGGGGCGCTTGCAACAAGCGGAAGCCGGCTCGAAGCGGCGACCCCAGCTGCGCTAGCAGGAGCAGCACCAGTAGCAGCTACGGGAGCAGCAGTGACAGCATCGGCCGGATCGCTAGCAACTGCAGCCTGAGCAGTGATGGCTTCTGGCGGGACTCTGGATACACCAGCGGCGCCCCGAGCCCCAGCAACAGCAGCAGCAGCGACGGCAGGGTCGGAAGCAGCGGCGGTGTTTTTTCGCGTCGGCGTGGCGCAGCGGGTAGCGTGCACAGCGCGGCCAGTAGCGCAAGCCTGTATGACGTAGAGTGCAGCGTCGGCGTTGCTACGCATGACGACGGCAGCGGCGGCGGAGGCTTGAAAGGAGGGCGGCCGGGGCTGGGCATGCGGCCGGCCACTTGGTGGCAGCTGCAGCACGTCGTCTTTCAATTTGATGCACTCACGGGTGAGTGGAGTGGTGGCATCCAGCAGGCTGATGGGGGGCTGCGTGTGGGGTGAGGGCGGGCCCGCCCACCAGGCCGGCTGTTTGTCAACCAGGGAATCGTCGGCACATGCCCACCCACCCCCACAATCATGGCCCCCGCCCTCCATCATGATGCCACGCAGACGCATCTGCGCGCCGCCTTGCGGCCGCGGCTCCCGCCCTCCGAGAGCTGGGGCTGACGCTGGGCCCATCCTGCCGCCGCGTCAAGCGGCAGGCGCGCCGCCTGTCGGCCCTGCGCCACCTGCCCTCCCTGGAGGCCCTTGCCTGCGACGCGCCCCTGGGGCCCGCCGCGCTGCGCGCGCTGCGGGCCGCGGCCGGCGCGCGGCTGGGGGCGCTGCGGCTGGGCGCGGCGCCGCGGCAGCACTGGCAGGGCGGGTGCCTGGACGAGCTGGCGGCGATGCGGCGGCTCACGGCGCTGACGGTGGCCTGCATCGCGGGGCGCAGCCTCACGCACGCGGCGCCGCTGGCGGCGCTCTCCGGCCTGCGGCGGCTGGTGAGGGGGCCGACGATGGAGGCCAGGGAAGGGGCCAACAGCGCAGGGCGGGCTGGGCCTGGCAGCACGCCCTGCGCTGGCCCAGCCCAGGACCCTGCCGCTGTGCCGCATGCAGCACTGCTCTTTTCGTTCGCCCAGCACTCGGGTGCTAGTGGCGGGGCCCGGTGGCGCCTTCGGCACCCAAACAACACGCTCGTGGACACCACCTGATTGTCCCGGCTCAACGGCGCACTCCCTTGTCCCTCCCGCGCCACCTCTACCTCTGCCTCTCCACCCTCTCAAGTCCGTCTGGGTGGGCTCCTACACCGCCGGCCCACCCTGGTCAAGCCGGCCCCTGCCAGACCTCCTGCCCACCACCGCCGCCCTGACACGCCTCACCAGCCTCCGCCTGCTGAGGGGCCTGCGCCGTGTGGCTGACACGCAGCAGCTCCCGCTGGTGTCGCGGCTGCCTTGGTTGGTGAACCTCGGACTGCACGACACCGCGCTGGCGGCCGAGGACCTGCTCGCCCTCGCGCGCTGCCCGGCGCTGGAGTCGCTGTCGGTGCGCGCGGGGCGGTCGCGCGCGGGGCCTCGTGCGCGCCCTCGCCCAACAGCTGTGCGCGCAAAGCGGACGGAGCCGCCGTAGCAGCCAGGTTGCTTTGGTGTCAACGCGCTGCCACGCATGCAAACGTCCGAGGTTAGCACTCGTACTTATTGCACATCGTCGTCATGCTTGATTGCGATCAATCCGCTGCTTTTCTGCCTCCGCAGGTCGACGCGATCCAGCTGGCCCCCGCCGGCCGCCAGGCGCCGCGACCGCTGCAGCGCCTGGCGCGGCTGCGCTGCAACGCGCCGGCCCTGGGGGCGGCGCGGCTGGACGAGCTGTTCCCGGCGCTCGTCAGCTTTGGGCCGTTTAAGGACACTTTGGGGCCAGGGTGGGTCAGGTTGAGGGTGGAAACACTGCCCTGGAATCAAATTGGTGGCGCTGCACCCGGGGTTGCAGTCACCGGCTTTGTGGTGGGGGGCAAAAGTTGTTCTGAAGGAGCGAGCATGTGTACAGAGGAGGTGTTGCAAAGGCACGGAGCGGCGTGACGGGAGTCTTGCGCCACACCCGCTTGCCAACCTTCAAGGCCCTTTTTAGCTCACACATGCGCGTGCCCGCTGCCGCGCAGGGGCTACGGCGTGAGTGCGTCGCTCGCCACCATCATCGGCGCCCGCCGCCTGCGCAGCCTCACCCTGATGATGGGGGCCCTGCGAGCGCCCAGCTCGGGTGTCGCCGCCGCCGCCGCCCCCGCTGCCGCTGACGTGGCGGCTGCGCTCGCGCAGCTGCCGTGCCTGTCAGACGTGTCGTTGGTCGGCCTGGCAGGCGGGCTCGACGCCCGCGACCCCGCCGCCAGCGCGGCGCTCGTTTTGGAGCTTTCGCGGCGGCTGGCGGGCGGCCTCGAACGGGTGGCGCTGGAGGAGTGGGGCGAGGGGGAGCTGGCCGCGTTTGGGCGGCTGCTGCCGTGCGTGCGCGAGGCGGCGCCAGACCTGCTGGTGACGGTGCGGTCGCAATGGGCAGGCTGAGGGGCGCCTACACACGCTCGTGACCAGCACAAAGAGTATCAGCACACGCAAACTCGTGATCCGCAAGGCATCACCCCCAAACAGGTGGCTTCCCGCGATGTTTACGAGGGTGACGTGACGTCATTATTAACTGACGCGCGCCCAATGAGGAGCGCTATGTTGCGTCTCTGTGGGATGGAGCGAGTTTGGCTTCAGGAACCTCTTACTCATTGGTGCCGTGGGTGCGCACACAAGCGTTCATTGATGCAAGCCTCCTTAACTCTGCACAGCTTGCCGCAGGGCATCGTCAGCCGAAGCCCGAATACTGCATGTGCAGTGCAGGCACAATCGGCCTGGGTGCCCAGTACACATGACCACGCTTCTCTGCCAGCAGCCTGCGGCGCAGCATGCTCTGCCTCCTACTGTGTTGAATTGAAAACCATGAATTAGAATTCACACAGACCCCATCAGGTGTTGTGAATCCTGTCACTTTGCTTGGACAGCAACTGCAGCCCCGTCCTAGGGGTGCAACACCTCTGGGTGACCAGATGCTATGCGCATCAATTGACACTGCTGCAAATGCTGACCAGCCAGAAAGTTGCATGGCAAGTGGCCCACACCCCTTGCACTGCTGTACATGCACGGAACTGCGCCTAAGAGGCAAGCGTGGTTGCGTTGCACTCAACATCAGCGTCCGCCTTCTGCTGCATTTGCCTGGAACGACAATGAACTCCTTGCAATTGGTGATTGACCTCGTGTGGGCTGCACGTGCCGCTTCTTTTACATTTTGCGCGATTTTGGGCCCCAGACCTCCGCATCACTGATATGTCACTGAGCCCGGCTGGGTGTGGCTTGCAAGGTGGGCATACCCAGGGAAGCCCACCGCCCTGGTGCTTGAGTGACGATGCAGCAACTTATGGGTGAGCTGCGCTCTATGAGCACACGCAGGCGCGACACGTGGACGTCTGAGGGCTGGAGAGCGACAGTGGTGTTGGCTGACGTCACCGCGACTTCATCATCCCTGCCGGCACCCGTCACTCCCACGCACGCCGCCACTGACAATCTAGCTTGCCCTGCTGGGTCTACCCTGCGGCAAGTAAGTATAAAAACTCATCTTAGTACTTCTGCCTGTGAAAGCGCGTAGTTCGATAGGCTGTAGGCAAGAGACCGACCCGGCAGACCGCGGTCACCTGGCACCGCACTGGTCAGTTGTGCGCACGGTGCGCACAGGGTCGCCAGACTCACACATTCGGGGGTGCCTTCAGGACCAGGCGACCCAACAATAGAGCAACAGGCCGCACTTGATCTAGTTGTGCAGATGCACGTAACGGCTCGCTGGCATTCGCAGAACAGGAGCTGCTGGAGTCGCACCTAGGTTGAACATGTGCTGGTGACACGTTAGTCAAGCCGGTGTGATGAAAGTGTGCCACAAATACGCCCACCACCTCCGCTTCGCGACGCATGAATCAAGTCATGAATATGTTTTCATACACATACCAGTGACACGCGATGGCTGCCGTGAAGCCTTCAGATTCGAAGGGCTCCGCCTATGCGGGGCCCGCCCGGCGGGTGAGGGGCTGCACTGCAATCCAACGATGATCGAAATTTGCGGTGTTGGTCACCTCCGCTGAGCTGCCCCCGCCCCAATCCCAGTGCTGCGCGCGACTTTGGCTCCCCTGCAGGGCCTGCTAGCGCTGTCATTCGGCGCCCTTGGTGTCATCTACGGGGATATAGGTGAGCTGACTCTATCAGCTACAGCCAGGAACAGGGCTGGCGGTGGTTGCTTGAGCCCCTGCCTGTGAGCTTGCCGTTCTTACCAGCGCCCACGGCCCGGTTTGAGCGACCCGCGCCGACCCGCGCACGCCCGTCAGCCCCTGCACACCCGCCGGCAGCGCCCGTGGCATGCACCTGAGAACCCCTCACGCCCCCATGCAGCACCCAAAGCCCTCCTCCCATTCGCCCAACGCGGTGCTGCAGCCTGTGCTGCCGTCTCCCCATGTAATCGCCGCCGCCGTCGCCGCTGCCATGGCCGCTGCGCTGAGCACCCCCTCATCGTTTCTTCCCCGCAACCCCAGGCACCAGCCCCCTGTACGCCTACCAATCCGTCTTCACCGCTCCTCCCAGTCGCGAGGAAACTCTGAGCGCCGCAAGCCTCTTCTTTTGGACACTCACGTGAGTCCTTTGGGCCTGTGTTGACAGGGCGTGCGCGCGCGCGCGCGCGCGCAGCGACTGCGCGCGCAGGCGCTGACGTGCGCGTGCACACGGGTGCATGCGAACCACAGCTGCATACTCATGGAGGGGAATACGGCAACACTAGGTCGGAATGGCGGCATCATGCGCCGCACGTGGCAGCCGGGGGCGCGCACCCCCATAAAGCGGGGCTGCCAGCCGGCAGCCCGCGCAGCGGCCCGGCCGGAGGCGGCGGGAACTTCACACACCAGGTGTTCTTGCGCTCCTCATGCACACACCTTCCACTCACTTATCATCTGTCAAGCGGCCACTCCCATCATCCCACTCCCGACCCTGGAATCCCCACAGGCTGATTGTACTGGTGAAGTATGTGGGCATAATCCTGCGGTTTGATGACAACGGAGAGGGTGAGGAACGGGATATGGATTGATTTATTGCGTGGCTTGTCTTCGCACTGCGGGCGTGGCTGTCGAGTTACACACCCGCCTCCAGGGAGCAGTGCACCATCATGTACTGATGACGCACCTCTTTGGGCCACCCCATCAGCCTTCTCTGCGGCCTGGCTTCAAGCTCGGGCACTAACGCCTCCTAACAACAGCGCCCGCCGTTGCTGCCAACACCTGGGCAGCGTGATGCCCCAGTTCTACGCGCGAGGGCCTGTAACCAGCACGGCTCCCCTTCACACTTCCTAACAACCAACCCTGGCGCAGGCGGCACGTTCGCCCTCTACTCCCTCATCTGCCGGGCCGCCGGCTTTGGTCCCTACGGCCCCTCCCAGCCCGTCGACATGCACTTCCTCACCGGCGGCGCCGGCGCCCTCGCGTCGCGCCTGCCGCGCGGCGCGACGCGCGGCCATTGGTGGAGCCTCCAGACCGGCCTGGGGGGCCGCGTGCGCGCGTGGTACCGCCGCAGCCAGGCTGGGCAGGTGGCGCTGCTCGTGGTCGTCATGCTGGCGACGGCCATGGTCATCGGTGACGGCGTGCTGACGCCGTCCATCTCGGGTGAGTCATGGAGCGTGTCATCAACCTTCCGGGACTATTCATGCACGCGCGTGGGCCTGATGGCGCCTTCCGGGGACCTGCGCACACAAGATGGGGTCGGGGGCCGCACTTGTATCTGCTCCAACACACGCTTGGTGTGTGTATGGCACCAGGCCAGCATCACACACTCACATGTCCCGGCTTCGCGGCACGCTCCGATTGTCGCCACCCTTGATCAACCACGAACGCGCAGCACTTGCCCACCCCGTGCCCACCCCGTCCCCACTGTCGCACACCCCTGATCCCCTCGCGCCCTTTCCTCACTGCCTGCGACCCTGCGGCAGTGCTCTCCGCCATCAGCGGCCTCAAAGTGGCGACCGACCAGATCACGCAGTCCACCGTGGTCGGCATCTCCATAGCCGTCCTGGTGCTCCTCTTCGCGGTCCAGCGCGCCGGCACAGGGAAGATCTCGGTGGTGTTTGCGCCCGTCGTCACGGTCTGGCTGCTGTTCAACGCGTCCCTCGGATTCTATAACCTCTCCACTAACGGCTGGGGGATCTGGGAGGTGCGAGCCACCTTGGCGTCCTCCGGTCACCAACGCGAGCGAGCTCGGCTAGGCTGCGCGGCACGCTCCGGCGCTGCCAGGGCGCGGTGATTGGAGCAAAATGGCTTGCGCATGCTGGGTCTCTCCAACCTCCGCAACCCATCACATCCGTGGACCGCGCTCATGCCTGGTGCTGCTGTCGAACGAGCAGGCGATCAACCCAGCCTACATCTTCACAGCATTTACGGGCCCCGGCGGCTTTGACGCTGGGTGGCGCCTGCTGGCGGGCGTCATGCTCTGCATCACTGGTGGGCGGCACCCGGGCAACCTCCCGGATGCTTGCCAGCCCTGCTCCTTGTGCCGCGCGATCATCAAGCGACCCTGCCCTGCTGCCGCTGGTCTCTTGCCCTGACCTCCCACATTCGTGCGGGAGGCCTCCCGCACCCAGAATCGTCACTGTAATTATATTTAGCCTTCCCCAGCTGCCCGCTAACTGCGGTGCCACTTGCGTATCGCGGCGCTTGCTTCCAGGGGCCGAGGCGATGTATGCGGACCTCGGCCACTTCAACGCTGCAGCCGTGATGGTGGGTCACAGGCACCCTTGAGGGGGCGAGGGACGGAGCGCGGGCGCGTCGCATTTCTGGCTGGGGCCTTGGTCCGGGCGTTGCACAAGCACCGCCATCTCGCTTCAAGAAGTCTGGTTGAGTGACGTCTGCTCAATCGCGAGTCTTTCATCGTTGATCGTGATGGCCTTTCCGCAAGTATGTCTGGATGGGTGCGTTCTCTTTGATGCCGCACATTGCCTGGCTACTTCTTCAACGTCCCTCCTGCCACCCTGCCATTCTCCCTGTGTGACGTCATGCTGATGTCACCACCTCCAGCTGTCCTTCAGTGGCTTTGTCTACCCCTGCCTGGTGGTGGGCGCCCCCGGACTGCGACAAACGGGAAAACGCTGCCTTTTAAGCCTGCCACAGGCGCAGAACCGCCCGCCATATGCTTCAGAATCTGCGTATCAAAGCACGTAGCTCTCAACAATCATTGGTTGCTGGAGTCCACAGCGCCCTGCCATCGCCGTTCCTGCTGCAGGTGACGTACATGGGTCAAGCTGCCTACATAATCGGCCATCCAGACGCCTACGAGGATCCCTTCTGGAACAGCGTGCCACACGGCGCTTTTTGGCCCATGTTGGTTGTCGCCACCCTCACTAGCGGTGCGCCGCGTGCCGCTTGATATTGCGCCCTGCAAACATTGGCAATTGGAGCAAGATCACAGCCCGCCTGCACCTACGCAAGCTTTGCATCGCGCCAGCTCGCTGTGTCTGTGGTCAGACGCCTCCCTCCCTGCCCCACCCCCCTCCGAACCCTCCCCGTGCTGGTGAATTGACTGGCGGCTTGCCCCACCGCAGTGGTCGCAAGCCAGGCGCTCATCAGCGGTGTCATGAGCATCATGCGGCAGGTGGGGTGCGATTGGGGCGACAGTCCGTGTTTGTGCGGCGGG